AAACAATTTTGATAACTGGAACGAATTTCAAACGAATTTATATATATATATATATATAATGTAGTTAGGAGAAATATTGCAATATGTATTTTGCATAAAATATCTAGACATTGTTCTAGCATTTGATATTTTATCGATTTTAACGAGACACGAAATCTGGAAGTGAATATAGAAATAACGAGATGGTTATATATAAATTTTTATAAAAATGGAAAAATGCGCGGAACACGTATTAATTTAGTTGGTTATGGCTTAATACCGGAGGTTACGTTCTGATGAAAATGCGTCTGTATTATTGCACGCTTTGCACGCAATCCGGAAATCAGCGTTAACTTGGCCGATCATTGTACAACGTAAACAATTTATCACAAATGGTTATTTAATAACAGAAACGTGTTTACTCGGTACTTCTTTATGGATGGCAATTCTTCGTACGCAGCGACTATTACGATAATTACGATTTATGACAACAATCTGTAATGATTAACTTACTTTGCATATAATTTACTTTCTTCGAGCTATTGGATCGAGCGTATTAAACACTTTTTCTTATTTTTCTTATTTCATATCTACCATATATATGCGTGTGTGTCTGTTTGAATTAAAAAAGTTGAAAATTTGGAGGATTTGAAGGTCCGACGATCCAAAAGTTCAGGGATTTAGAAATTCGGAAGATTCGTAAATTCAAAGACGTAAGAGGTGTGAAAATTTCGAGACTGGAAGATTGGGAAAAAATTTGAATGGTCGGAAGATTGAAAAATCGCGAATGCCAAACCGCAATTAAAATATAATCGCCACATGATCATCCATTCAAATTGTTCAATGAGAATTCTTCTATGCAAACTTCACCATGGAAAATGGCTTGGTTACGTCACAATTCCGGTTCTCTCGTCACTAGTATTCCTTTTTATTCAAGTTCCGCGATATTAACGTACATCAATTATACGTAACAATAATAAATGGCCTCCTTACGAAACATTTATACACATTTCATCTCGTTTTCGTTTAACATTGAACCTGAAATCTTCTACAAAAAAAAAAGTTTCACTTAATTCAAGTTTCAACTAATAATTAAAATTGAAATTAATATTATAAAAAGTTTTCGAAATTTCAAGCGGAAATATTGCTATATAATTAAAAAATGAATGAATCTTTCAATACTATGAAAGAATAAAATATTTATTTATTGGAAAAATCCAAGTTTTTGAGGTGAAATGTATATTTGCAGATTTCAGTGAAATTTCAAAATATTTCGCATAATGCAATAGACATATTCATGAAACGTTCAGATACTTGTCTAAACTACATTATACGTGCTCCAATCTTTTACGAAACGAAGATATATATATATATATATATTTTTTTTTTATTTATTATTTCTTTAATGATCTTCGTCTCGACTTGTTAAATTGAAAATAAATTTCCCTTGCATCTCACTGAACTGCGAAATCTCGAATGGGATGGTATACTCACACACGAACGATAAATATTTCATTAAACAGATTTGAAAACGATAAACATTTACATAAATATTTCATCGAATGTGGAAACGTCGTTACACAATTCGGACTTACGATCGTATAAGGCGATTTAATGATCAATGTTAATTTCGAAGCAAGATCTGCAAGATTGAGATCTCATAACGAATGAATGTAAATATCGCTGCACGATGCTTGATAAAACAGAATCCGCGCAAAAGGAGATTTCTCTTCTCTCGGGGGAGATAAAAAGATTTCTCAGAGGACGAAGGTGGTTGGAAAAAGCGTTTAATTGACGGCAAATTAAGAACTCAATATATTCAATTATAGGGAGGAAGCTTTCGCGCGTACACTTTTATTCGTGGAAATAGCTGGTCTTGTTTCGACGTTGCGATAAAAATTGAAATATCGTTGCTTTAACAAACCAGTAATTTTTTTTAATTACATTTACGCCAATGCAATCGAATCTCTTGAAAACTCGAAATGGCCGGATAATAATTTCTATAATAATTCGTTCGTCGACGAAATCTTACGTATTATAAATTTTTGTCCCGAAATTTTGGTTAATTAAAAGAATTATTGTTGCAGCTTGACTGCAATTGAATAGTTCTGTAAAAGAGAAAAAGCGTATAGTGTTCGTCATTAATGTATGTATGTCAAGATAAATAGGAACTGAAGGTGTTTCATTATTTAAATGAATAGCTCGTGAGATTATGCGTGATACATTTTATGTTAAAAAGCATAAACGATGCTTTGGTAATGATTGTTCACATTACTTCATTTTTATCCTTTATATATATATGTATACAATATTCCTTTTCTACTTGCAAAAAATGTTTAACAAGGAAGAATTTGTTCAAAGGACACTCTAGTTTTTATACATTTAGGAAAACTTGAGAGTTGTAAGCCGAATAAAAATATAATAAATAATAAATACACATAATAGTATGATAAACTTTTTAAACTTCTTTCTATTTCTTTCGCAAAAATTTCATTTAAAAGTACGTAAAACTGGCAATAATCTTTCTCGCATTTTTACTTAACAATCCTCATATCCTAAATGATAGTAGTTTCTCACTTGCTAAAAGAGCTTAATAAAAACGAAATTATTTAAAGGACACTCTAATTAGAATGTACGGGCGATTGCAACGAACCTTCGATGGTATCCTCCACTTTTGCAACAACGTTGCAAAAATGGTCAAGGCTCTTCCTTTCCCTAGTAAAAATCCAAATCACTTTTTTTTTCAACTACATCAACAATATACTTTATTTCGCCTTGAGTGCAGCCTTTGCTCAAGATTACATCAAGCGACAAAAAAAAAGTGACATAAAGTAGACAAAGTATCAAAGTTGCTTTCATCGCGAGACTTTAGATCTCATCTTCCTCGTCCGGGTTTCAGCAACGATGTGATTAAAACCTCACCTTGAACCTGTAGTAAATGAAAGATGGTGACACATTGATAAGCATGAGAGACTACAGTGATGATCGTAATACCTCCACTGTATAATAAAAAGAGAAGTCCAACAGTTACACTTTCGAAAGTATTTGAGTGATCGCAGAAGCCTTTTACAAACTCTTATTAATATTAAAATTAATATATAAAGTTCCAAAGGGTAGTTTCAGTCTTAATCAAGTCATTACTAGACTTAATATATTTATATAAATTCGTGTTAAAAAAACTAAAAAACCCGGAACGGAGAATTATTTTACATATTAATTATATATTCTAATTATAACTTCATTCTTTGCTACGACAGCTACGTCCTCGCAGTTTGAAAGCTACCATCAACTTCACGTAATACAGTGCCAACTGGAAGATAAAAATTGACTTACGTACACCACTCATAATTCTCAATCCTCCAATTTCTTCTTTCATCTTCTTTATAAAATCCGCTCATCGCGAAACCGAATCGTCATCTTTTATTGCGTAAGAATCGAAACGCTCGGCACTTCTTTCCTCTCGAGTATCTTCTTTAGACTTAACTGAACTTAACTAACACACGCGTGGAGAGATAATTAGATCACAGTTTGTCCAGCTATAAATGCGAGAGGTGAAGGTAAACCTGACACGAACATCCGCAGTTTAATAACGAAACAGGCATTGAAACGATCGACGTAATTGTTCTCCTTTTTTTTTTTTTTCTTTTCGTGCTATTTCTCTTTGTTGATGCGCGTCTTTTATTTCTTGGATCCTCTGAAGTAAAATTAATATCCGTCTACGTCTATATGTATGCACGTATAGTAATTTTTATTTTTTATAAAGAAATATAAACTATAAAAAGAAGTATATCCAATAAATAAATGTCACTGTTTCAGCGTGCCTGGTTAATCATATAATATAATATTCGCGAATATACGAATTCCTTCAGCTCCAATATTTTGTGGCGCGTAATTCGAGTAGAGTAGGTGATTGAGGATCGTTGATTCGCAGAGATCGAGATAATGACAGTCATGGTGGAGTCGGTGAAAGCCGAGGAGGGCGAACGTTCGAAGATCGAGACGTTCGACGACATCCTGCCGTACATCGGCGAGGCTGGCCGCTACCAATGGTTCCTTTTCGTCGTGTTGCTGCCCTTCACCTTCGTCTACGCGTTCCTCTACTTCACGCAGTTCTTCATCACGCTATTGCCAGCTGAGCACTGGTGCACCGTGCCGGAGCTGAACAACTGGACCCTCACGGACGAACAGAAGTGAGTGAAGTTTCTTTTCTTTACTTTAACAGCGAAACAATCGTGAGACGATCGGCAGTGTTTCTTCCTGTTTGTTTGGAAGATGCAGTTAAATTTAAATGACAGTGAAAGACTGTCGATAGTTTGAACTAACTTTGTAAAAGAAGGATCATGCGATGGTCCTCTTCAACAAGTCGTGAATCCGTTTCCTTTCTCTCTCTCTCTCTCTCTCTCTCTCTCTCTCTCTCTCTCTCTCTCTCACACACAGGTGATTTTAACAAGTGGGAGAGTAAGGATACTTCTTTCTCGAAAATTGTAAAAATTCAAACCTGTGCGAGAACATTGAAAAATTCTTTTCGTGATTATCATCAATTTGAAGACTCCTCGTTACTTACTATTGCGTAGAATTTACTACATGATTTGTCAACCAAATATCAGGATTAAAGAAGAAAGAAATTTAAGAAACTCTAACATTCTTGTCATTTGATGATCTAATACTTCAAGTTCAATGGTGAAATGGTACGAGTTTCGAAGGATCATTGTAAAGAAAAGATTTCAATCTTCAAGACCATAATAGACCTAGTCATAAATGAAATTTTTTAATGTTTTTACATTCGCCCGAATTCTTATAATCTTTCGAGAGAAGTGTCCTCATCTTCTCACCTGTAAAATCATCTTTCCAAAAAAAAACGAACTCGAAAGTGACAAAGCAAAGGCTTTTATACAATTACTTTTTGCAGAGTCATATCAATTTAAATTATCGACGATTTTTCGTTGTCGTTAATACAGTTTCAATCTTCGCTCTGAAAACACAGATTTGAAAACTTCGAAAGATCCACACGTGTACGATTCGTAACAAACCAATGCACGTCCTCGTTGAAAATTCCATTCGGTGTCCATAATTGATCACCTTCTGCAAACGGACGGATTTAATACATATGTATTTCTTGAAGTCGTGCGCGCGCGATTCGAGCCAAGCATCGCGAAAGCTGATTCATTTTCAAAGCAGGCCGTAATAAATATTCCCGCACTTGCACGGGAGTTTCATTTTCTCAGCTGTGATAACGCATCGCATCGCGACAATTTGTTTCTTTTAATGCGCGGCATTATTTGCATGATGACAGCTGCTCTGCTCTCTTGCTTAAATCGCGAGAAAATCCTTGAGAAAAATTCGTCAGATTTATTTTACGCACCAGCATTCTCAAGATCACCTAACTGCTTTGTTACTTGTAAAATCAGAAAATCTTTAGAAAAATTACCTGTTTTGTTACTGAAACTCTTTCACAACCTGTGGATTCACGAACAATTAACGTGACAATGAAATCTTTAGAAATTCTCTGTCTCGATTCCTCATAAATATCCAGCGGTCTACAAATAGTATTAATTCACATCCGCAAGAGGACCCTGAGGATCTCCTGTTCTCGTCCTAAGCTACTCGATTATCCAAACTATCTTATCCTACCAATTAATTACTCGCACAGACGAACTCCGGCAACGTTAGAAGACGTTCAATCAACGTCTTTCTCGCGTGTCTTATTTCGAGGAAAATCGTTCGGGAAAGCAGGAGGACGTGATCTCGTGGCTCGTTTCCAATGAATCGTTCCCCGCGATTTGATTTCCTTGTGACGTGGCGAACGAGGAAAATCGTGTGCTTCCCACTGACTCACGCTGGCAAACGCGAGACTAAACGCTTTGGTAGAGATCAGTGATTCTGACCGATCGAAGGAAACCAGTTTGTGGTCAACGACCTGCGGCAGATTCTAAGCGTGCACGAGTTCGGCGAAAACTAGTTAGAACTAGGGAACTTTTTCTCGCTTCCACACGATTCATCGATTCATTCCTCGTGTCTATCTCTCTTCTGGTTGCTTTCATTTGCGTTTGAAAATAGACTCATCGAGACGTGTAGCGATCGTGTAATTAAATCTCGACACAATTGGAATACCTAGATACAGTGTACAATACTCGGCACGAGCGACCTTCCAATTTTTGCCTTTCT